AGCTTATGCTCTAATAAATTTGTTAGTCTCTAAGGTGCCACAAGTACTCCTGTTCTTCTTTTTGTCAATATGATTAAATCTTCCAGGTTTTTTAGGACTGGGATGCAAGGTTTGGCCTGAAGATTTTTGTCTCTTGCATTGGTGCAAAACACCATCTTTCCGATTTAAATTGGTGTAAGTGATTGATTGTACAAGGTCCAGGCTGATGGAGACTTGAGCCCACTAGCTTTTAATGGGAGCTATAGCATTCCTTTTTGTGAGCAGCAGAGGGCAGAAGAAATTGTTACTTATCTAGCGATTTAAAAAAAAAAATCCAACATCTTCCCTTCCCCCCCCTTCTCTCCCTCTAAGCAAAACTTACTTACAACACTTCTAAAATCATGTGATTTTTTTTTCTCCATCAAAACTATTTTTCTATTTCCGCTGTAACAATTAACTGCACTGAAAGAAACTCCTTGATGGTGGTTTATTTTTAAGAAGCTGATGTATAAAAGCATTTTTCATGGGGATGCATTTTCCCTTATTAAATTTGTTTGTTGCAATGGTCTTTCTTAGTGCCCTGTTCCTTTTGGGGTGGGAAGGAAGGAACATTCAGTACCAAATCACTGTAAAAAATAAAATCCCATGACATCTCTGTATTCTTTTTGGCTAAGCTGCAGTTTCCCAAGAAACTGTGCAAGTTGAGCTCTTATGCCTAGGGTAGGTCCAAGGGAACAGTGAAACAGATGTGGAGTCATAACTGTATAGCAGTTCCACTTAAGGAGGCTGGTCAGTGGTTGTGTTAGCCCCTTAGGGGCCCTAAGCAGAAATAGTCCTCCTTCTCCCCCCCCCCACCCTCCCCACACACATCACATAATAATAAGCAAATAGGAGGCCCCCTTGAGCTGCTCAGGGCCCTAAACATTTGCTTACGCCTAATGCCGGCTCTAAGGACAGTATGCTCCCGCAGCCTAGTCTAGCAAAGTGTAGTTTAGCAGGCCCTCGCAAGGAAGGGGCCTTGCATTAGGGCAGGTTCCCATAGTGTACTGGGACAGTAGAATATGGGGCCCCTATGCTACAATTAGATCACAGCGGGCTGAGGCAGTATCTTCAGTCCCCCTTCTCCATCACACTTGAGACATGTAGTGGTTAAATCTTCCATCCGCGTGCAGTGTTCCAGCACCGTATCTGGCCAAAGGTTCAGATTTTGCAGTGGACCATGGACAAGTTGATACCTATGGGACCCAGGATTGAGTCAGGAGGCCAGGCAGTCTCATTTTAGACTATTGGGGCTTTGGAGGATGGTTTTTTTTCTCTCCCCACTCATTCTTTTGTGGCCCTTCCAGTGGTATGTGGAGAAAAAGGTGGGTTGAGCCTTGTGCTTCCTTGTATATGAAGACTGAGATTGTAGGAATGTAACTACCATGGACAAGGGTCTGATCCAAAACCCATTGGAGACTCCCCTTGACGTCAATGGTTCTGAAGCAGAACTTAATGGAGCACCCGCCTGCAGCCTACTACCTTACCTCTCTTGTTTTGGATGTAAGATCCTTTCTCCAGCTTGAGTCTAGGAAGAAGAGACGGAATGAGCCAAGAGGATAACACCAGTGTCCTGGCGAATACTTACCCTGAAACTGGAGATTATTCAACTGAGAGGGAATCTGTGTGAGGTAGTGTTGATCCCACCAGCACCTGCCTTCTTTACCTGTGCTCTTTTTAGGCTACATCCTATGTTTGTTTAGCACTTTGAGATAAATGAGTATAGAAATAGACAACAAAAGCAGCGCTGAAAGCAAATGGGACTCTCCAATCTCTAGAACTGTAATATAGCGTTTCTGGTAAGAGTACCCTTTTGGCAAATATTAGTGCAAGTGATTAGAGTGCCCCCTCCTGACCCACTTTACTGATTGGGGGGGAAAAAACAGCTCACTTGATCTCGATTATTGATTGGCTAAGTGGCAGATGCTAATCAAGCATTTGGAAATCATCACTCATCTGGGTTCTGATTAAAGTCTGCACAAAGCTGTTCCCTCAGCCAATGTTTTAACTAAAGTACTTAGTTTTACACTGATCACCCCAAAAACCAGACACAGTCCATCTGGTCCCCCTGAAATGGAGCTGTGTGTTGGGTGAGGGCAGTAACCAGCAGTGATGGGGGCGGGGAGATGTTGGTCAAGAACTCAGGGGCAACATCTATTTACCATGATGAAATCTAGGTTCTGTAAAAGTATGTGTGGGGTTAACAGTAACTCAGTATTTAAAGTCTCCTTTGAAAGACTTCTATTAACAGAAAACTGTGGAACTCATTTTATCTGCTGTGTAAGGGCAGAGCGTGGCGTTGATTTCCACCAGGATTTGGAACGGTGATCCTAGGGAATGCAAATTTTTCCAACCCGGAGCTTAGTCTAGGCAGCCATCCCCAGTGGTTTAGCAGTGCTATGCGTCTGAACCTAGACACATGGATCACCTTATAACTTATTTTGAAAAGTCAATTTAATACAAGGGTGATGGAGTTTGATGTTATGACTGGAAAATAAGCTCCTACATTTGAAATATACCTCTCTGGTTTGCTTTAAGGTTTAATATCTGTTGTCTTTCTCCTTGCAGTTAGATCCTATTATTAAATCACAGCATTTCATTGCACTGACATCACTTATTGAAACCAGACTAGCTCTAAGGGTTTACATTTCATTTGTAGGGAATATGCAATAATACTAGCATACCCTGGGAAGAGGCACCTTAGAAAAGCCTAACACAGATCCTGTACTCAGCACTTACTTTACGTGTCTGTGTGTGTGTGTGTGTGTGTGTGTATTTAACTTAAAGACTGGTTGCTTACAATGGGGCCCAATCCTGCTCCCGTTAAAATCCTGGCAAAATTCCTATTGATTTCACTGAGAGAAAGTTAGGCCTAACCTAACTTTCCTGCTAGAAAGAGAAATGAATGAAAACTCCGCCTGTCTTCCCACCACATTTATAATTGATGCTGAAACACATCTCAGTCTTATAGCCACTTTGAAATATATGCATCTGAATTAAAGCCCCATCAAACAGCCATTCATAGATTCTAGGGCTGGAAGGGACCTCAAGAGGTCATCGAGTCCAGTCCCCATAAAGGGGACTTGACACTTTTGTAGATCAGTTTTCTATTAAAATGTGTTCGATCCTTGTTAGATGTTTCAAAACTCAAGTTCATCTGTTCCTCCGCCAGACCATGAGTGCAAGTTTCTGTATTGTGCCCGGGGCAGGAACATATTGTTCTGTGTCTTATGCCAAGTATGTGCTTTGCCCATGTTTGCATGTGTACTCAAGGCTCGGCACTTGAAGGGAAATATGTGCTAGGTCTTGCCCTGTGGTGCTTGAATGACCTCTGAGCAGCTCCTAAGCCTTTTTAAACCTGTATTGGTTTTAGTGGCAAGAATTCAATAC